ATGTAGATCTTTGTATCTACTAGCTTCGAAGGACTTCTATGTTTTCTTATGCATAGGGATTGTGAAGCTAAAGGTGAATTATTTGAAACTTTACATATTTACTAAATGAGTTTCTCATACTTCATATATTTTATGGATTTTACTTCTCCTATCTATTAATTTGACATTCCTACCCATTAGCATTGATATCTTCAAATTCATTATTTGCATTAGAGCTTTGTGTGTGTTAGATTTAGCAAACCTATTTAGTTTTTTGTCATGTAGGTTGCAGAGAAATGATACTCCATTGATGAAGTGACTTATTTTCTTCAAATTGAACACATTAAACTCACTTTTAGTCCTCATGTACTCCATTTGTACCACCTTGAACATCTGATTTTGGTTTCAAGACAAGTTCTATTTTTCATAGAATATTTTCTCTGACTCACGATTTTGACTCCCTTGATTTATCTGACTTCGTTGATTGCCTATGTGATTTTTTACCAGTTTTACCCTCTAAAAGATATTTTCATAAAAAAATTTCACTATCTACTTTGACTTATTCTATCTTGACATTATTTGCTGAATTATGTAAAGTTAGCATGTATGCTGCAAAACATTATAGGTTTTCATATTTCTTGGGGCTTGATTGCTACCGGCCGTCATTTTCATGAATATGTAAATGATAGTTGCAAAATTCTATATATTTTTTCCTTGAAAATGCAATGACAACATACACCTGTTCATGTTATAATTAGTTCTTTTCCTTACAATGAATGAAAAAGTATACGACTGAATATCTTTATAAAAATTTCTACACAAACACAATTTAGCTTTTAAGATTGGACGTGATTTCCATTTGACATTGATGCAATATTTGTGACATTTTTTTATGTATGCATTTCCTATTTCTTCTTTTCTATAATTATACTTATATCATATTTTAAATATGATATGTGTTATATATAAATTCATTTCATATTGAATCTTTATTATCTATAATTTCATTCATAACAACATATTGCAATATAACGGTAGTCACATTTCAAATGATATTATTGAAAAAAATATTCTAAATTTTTGCTGGCATTATTGTATTTATTGCCCCAAGTTGTATTTTATACATGAAAGATTTATCTAACTTGCAATAATGAATATAAGAGAAATTGAGAAAAAATATTTTTTCCATTTCAAGCATGAATTTTAAGACAAACACATCATGGAGGACAAAATATTTTTTAATCAACTTAAGAATAATTAATATTTCTCCAGAAGAAAGATTTAAAAATGCATCTTAAATATAAATTGTTCTTAAGTAAGTTTAAATCTACTTTAGGTAATTTGATAGTCATCTTATAAAAATTGACTTGTCTCTTAATGTGTTTCCACAAGCCTGCTTGATGTTTGTGATATAGATACATTTTGGATGTTTCTTTCTTTCTCTTTCATGATTCCATATGATATATTCAGTTTCAGCATTTTAAACGGGGTTTCCTGCACTTCATATTAATCAAAAGGCAATTGACTAAAATCTTGCTGTAGTCCATGTACTTTATATTTGTTATAGATATCTCTAGCTATTGTGCATATTCCTTGGATAATGCTCTCTACCATGAATAAATATGAAATACTATTTATGTATATAAACACGTATTATTTTCGTTGTTGTTTTGATGCGAAGACATTGATAAAGTCTGTATGATTTTGTGCGCATGGATTCTTACTTTCATTGCATCGTAATTTAGGTAAAGACTCAGGTATTTTACCATAGTATTCACTTTAAGTGTATCATCCAGATTTATCTTCTCTCCTGTAGATTTTCGAAATCGATTTTTTTTAAAGTACTTGGATTCAACTGAACAGATACATGTAATTATCCGTACACCTATGTTAGCTTTAATTACATGATATCTCAAATATCAAGCATTGAGAACGTTTCTCTCATGAAATTATATTTATTTCAATATTCACAATTTTCAGACCATATATTATTCAAGAGAACAGGATTCTTACATCATGCATTGCATGGACTTTATCATGTCATAAGACACTTCAGAATGGCTTTCCATATCCATTTCTTGGACTTTATCGTGTCATTGGAGACTTCAGAATGGCTATCCATATCCATTTCTTGGACTTTATCATGTCATTGGAGACTTCAGAATGGCTATCCATATCCATTTCTTGGACTTTATCATGTCATTGGAGACTTCAGAATGGCTATCCATATCCATTTCAGTTCTAACAATGATAATAAAATGAGACATTTCACCTGCATGTGATTGCGAGACATCTTTGGTCGATCCATGTATTCTTCATTTCACTGAGAAGAAAAGGCGTCTATCATGATACTTCACTTGCTATAAAAACTAAGAAATGGGGCCAAAGATTATAAAATTGGAAATAGTTTGCAACAACTCTGGTTGACGCGTCTTGGTTTCACCTCACTCACTGCCTGCGTCATTGCCCCAAACTCAAAAACTATTGCAATAACCCATCGAACTTAACTTCCAATTAGAGGTCAAGTTTGTCCTTGATCTCTAATTGGAAGACTATTATAAATAGATATTATACGGTTATCTTTATTATGCATTTCTTTTAACTATAGAAAGTTCGTGTAGTAAACTCTACAACTAGATCTTCTCACAATGACAATATTGCAAGCATGTACATACAATATCAGCACATGACAAAAGACTAATGCTTTCTACACATGCTTTCATCCATGAGATTGTTCATTCTCATCAATCATCCTGGGAATTGTTCATTCTCTTGAAGATTCAACCATAAGTGCTACTTTTATCTGCAGGTTAGAGATTCATATAAAACACTGGTCGATAATATTGTTGAATCAGGCAGTTTACTTTAGAGATTTTTTGAGCATTGTGAGTAAGTCACATTGAAATACCGCATGAGATGTTCCGGATGTGTCATATGCAGGCATATCACTGTTCAAACTCATGAACTGCGATTGTCATATTTTATCATTACTTCGAGAATATAATCTTAGTTTTTAATAAGGGCATTAACATTTTCTAGTCATTCAAACTTGCAACTCCATATTTTTTTTCGTCTCACTTGCATATACTTTTACCCTCTAGCTTCGTTCCACTCTCCGGAACTCTCACAGCCCTCTCAACAAGTTTTTTTTAATATATGCGCAAACATGACTCTTATACTCTAATTCGAATTGACGTTAGGGAGACCATTGCTCTCCGACTGTCGATATATCAGAAGTTCTTTACTGACAACAGTAAATTTAGAGAAATACAAGGGAGCGGCTAGAGAAATGCAATCACTGTTTTCTCCCTGGCAGGCCATTTCTATCAAAACGAGGGCCATCTCAAAATGGCTCCAAGAGTGAACTTTCCTCTAGACGCTTTCAATTTTAGCTGGATTTTAGCATCGACTTTGTCTTCTAAATGTGTTCCTAACTTTCTTCTCTACTCATGCATGCACCACACCCTTCACGCTGGTTACGTCAGGTCGTCCACGTTCTATTGAGACTGTTTCATTTGCCTTCGACTGGTTAGGCCCTCGATGGTAGGCCCTCGATCTCGCCCACTCGAAGGTGTGTGACAGGTATCATCTGACATGATCCTGTCCATGGTTCTTACCGCCTCATGAGACGCGGGAGTCCTTCCGACTCATCTTCCCGGCGATTCTCGTGTTCGGGATCTGATCGTAGGCGACGATGCAATAATCGGTATCAGATACCACTACATTCGTATGGTCGCTAACGTCAAATGCCACCGCCACAATCACATTCGGTCTCGCTTAATTTGGGCGAGAAGGAGCTTGCTGGCCGTTGAACGAGATGTTTGAAGACTCCCTGATTTCGGTAAGTTTGACGAACACGAAATTCCTAAATAAAAATCAAGACCCGCGCAATCTGGTTGCGATACTATTGGGGCCTACCTCTGGTTACCCCTTCGGGTTCTTCTGTACGGGGTCCTCCCATTCCTTTTAGATATCCACTTGGCCCGGCTGTGTCTTGTTGGTATTAATGAATATATATTGGCCCATGTGAGCCTTTGATGGGGTTTTATCATCCTTGTTCTTATTTTACTCTGTACACAATTCGACATGCTTAACTGGGAATGGGAGGCATGAGAGAAGGCTAAAAGTGGAATGAAGTAATTCCCAATTGGAACGGGGAGGATCCCAGAGGCTCACTACCGGCGACCAACATCACCGATGCCACGGGATAGCGCAAGGGCTCAGCGCTATTTCAGGAAGGCATTTGCCAGAGCACATGCCCATGGACAGACACACTTTATATTGAGGTAATGTTTCACTGTCCTTGAAAGAGGCGACCGGATGAGGCGAGAAATCGGATGGCTTTATATATCCACGGAGGCCATCTCCCTTGCACACCGATAAATGTAACGACGTTAATGGCCGTGAACAAAAACTGAACCAGGTTTTGGAATCTATTTCATGTCTATTCCTACCAGGAGCGCAGATTTGTGTCAGGTCCCGTAGGTTGTTTTACAGTCTTTAGTTACAGAAATCGTAGACGTCATTACTCAGACGGTTGTTGTTGCAGCAGTTGTTCATGAACGTATTGAAAAGACGGGGAGCACTCCCATCGTCATGTGGACTGCTTAATAAGAAAGAACCGGGATCACGCGTATTCACGTTGGCGTATTAATTCTATGCTCAACTTTCGACAGATCATACCTGATCCTACGTAGAGGCAGTGTTTCGTTTTCTGTTTCAGTAGACTGGACTGACGTTTGGGCCAGATAGATAAGAATAGTGAAGACCAAATTGCCAGTGGGTCCTGTTGCACATATATGTGTCAGAGGTGGACTGTCACTACTGCCCTGTTTGGAATGTTACAGCCAGAGACCAAACAAGAAAGCAGATGATAATATTCGAGATGAGAAGCATGTATACTCAGATCAATACACAGCTCTCGCGTAACCCATCCATATGACGCTATCGGTGGGATGGTAAAGGGATTGTGGCACGACAATGTTCTCTGGACATGGAATACATGTTTCTCAAAGACTTCGCTGAGGTGGAGTCTGACGCAGCATACATCCGATTGCACTCGCTTTAAGGATTTGTGTAAAGCCAGGATCATGTTTGATTAGTTCAGAATATCGTCTGTGCACAACTGGACTACAAGTTGGGTGAATTTGCCAAGTGGATCACCAGATTCCGAATGAAGGTATCTAAGTAAGCATCAAACCAGCTGCACGACTGAAGCTATATGATTGACAGTGTTTAGACTACTGTTGCTTCCCGAATTCCATATCTCACTCGAATACCTGTGCTTGACTTTAAGCCCAAACGTCGTTTGGAGAAAGAATTCGTTGATTCTGTGATGCAAATCGAAACTGCCAGCTATTTACATTGCCAGAAGAGAACCAAAATCTTTCGAAAGATTGGGCCCCACCGGTCAAACTTGGCACCAAAAATGGATTCACTCAGTCCTCAGGTGTTGAAGTCAACAGCCAGTAGACGTGGCGACTTTTGAAGTTAAGCTTGATTTCACTTGTAAGCTGGACAGTGACTCATGATGAAATCGCTGAATGCAAACTCGATTCCTCTAAACTGCCGAGCTTCAGATTGTGGAAGACACCCAACGACACTCGATATCAGCGCGCTTTCTTCCAGGAAGTTAAACCATATATTTACATGCAGGAAAACGCACAATTGTTGGCTGTATCAAACTTGCCCTGCACATTGACGAGTTGTCGGATGCCAAAGGTGTGTGAGAAGAAACTTAGAATTTCTTTTCCCGTACACGTTAAAGCTTGCATTGGTGATTTTGTCGACCAGCAATTCTCCTGGGTAGCCCGGGAAGGCCCCAGTGCCATAGATTCCCTGACAAACTCCGGCAGCTTCGAGGCCGTCGGCTTGGAAGTAAGCGTTGCCGAATGGATCGGTCGCTATACCTGCTAGGAGGTTACCAATTGTGATGATCATACCATCGATACCGGCGTCTCCGTTGGGTGGAATGAGACCCTGCTGCAGGAAACCTCCCGGAGCGTAGGGCCAGCTGCACAGTCCTGGACACTGCTGCGCCGGGTTGCCCACCCATCCGTAAGGCACCATCTGAGAGTTCGTCTCATCGGAAGGAAAGGTGTAGAAATGCGTCCCGCAGACATTCATGCAGAATCTCTCCACCTGGACGTCGTCCGAGGTCAGGACGATGTAGATAGATCGTGAATCGATTCCGAACTTCTTTCGCATGAATTTCAGAACGAGTTTCTGGATGTCCATCTGCTTGATGGACTTGCCCAGAGAGTACCGATCCACCGCTTCCCCTGCCAGAACCACGTTGCTCGCCACCGGGTGATTGAAAAGGTCGACGTAGAGGTTTGTGATTTCCCACCACTTGGCGACTGTGGGCTCTTTCCTGCTCGCTCGTTGCTGCCGCAACGATCGGAAGAACAGGCGCAAGGTTGATCTCTGCTGATCACTGAACCCGCCGTAGTAAATCACAAACAGCTTGAGAGTATTATTTCGGCCTGTCATGACGGGGCCGAGGTGGTAATCGAGTACGATACTCGGCTCCGGTACGAGAGCTTTGCTTCCGATGTTACTGGAACGCACGGATTCCGTAACTGGTGTGGGACTGAGGAAGGCTGTACTGTGAGTGTGATTGTACGTGTCGCTCACTGTGCTTGCCTGAGAAATGTGTACCCCTTCGAACGCGAGAAGCAAGACCACCGAGGCTGCAAGCACTCTCAGCTTCGAGCTCCAGACGTGCTCCTCGGATGTGAGCATCTCCACAATGTGGCTGGACGTACGGTCGACTGGTCGATTGGTCACCCTGCGACAGGCTCAGCCGTGGCTGCTGGAGACTGTCGTCGGGGGAAGGAAATGAGAAACTGGGGGAGGCTTTGCACTGCGAAACCCAAATGTCGAGATCGGTAGACTTTTATGGATGGTGCTCGGAGATTGTGTTGGGGATGTCCAGCTAAATGAGAAGGAGAATGATGTGTCAAGATCGGATTGCGAAGAGAATGCGCTGAGAGGTACCAATGATAGATGAGAAACCCATGTGCTGGATTTGGCAGTGAAGGACTCCCGAGCTTATATACAAACGGAGTGAGAGAATATAGCTGACTGTAATCGGTCGATCCAGTTCTTCATAAACATTTGTCTTTTTATGTCCCTAGAAGAGCGTGCGTCATAGCTGGCAATATCTGTCACCGGCTTGTAGAATAGAAAGAGACGAACTTCTCCCCATACGTGACACTGGGATTCATCGTGCACAGATGACTGGGCTTCAGCATCGTCCAATCAGACGAGAAGCTCTTCAAGTACACGAAGACAATGGCCCTGACGTGAGTCGAGGGATCCTGCCTGTAGAAGAGGTCATTATGCCTCTTTGACGTTTCTATTGTGTGGGCTTCAGAGTCCACCATTATTAAATGGGCACTGTGCACTAATTCTATCTGGAATGAAGACTCTTGATTCAGGCGGGTTACAGGCCTTTATATGCATGATGCCTAGATAATAGAACTGAATGGGAAACATTGGAACTAAAGAGATTATGAATAACGGAACTTGCACCCGAAGCCTCTCTGGCCTCCATCGAAGTGTTAATGCCCAATCAACTCTCAGAGCTGGCACCATCGCCTTCTTGCATAATCATTTCCATAAAGAATATGGGCCAACTCAGACGAAGAAGGTCGTATTCCTGCCTTGCTTTTGATACTTCTTTCCTTCAAACCAAGTGCAATGACATGCTTGACCATTGCGTCATGCATGGATATCATGCCAAATTGCAATAAATGGGATGCTTCCTCAAGTTGCGTTTCCTCTTCTTCTGGGGATCAAAGACAGTAAGACCAACTTTACACAACTTGTTGAATGCCCATGTTTATCTAAATCGGTTTATTACGGGCCAAACAACTCCCTTAATATCGTCAAATGTTCAACATCTTGCGCCACTAAACATGCCCACTGGACAACATTCCATTACTCTTCCGAGGATCATGGTCCCTAAATAACCATATTACTATAAGATAACGCTGTGCATGTTCAATGTGACCTGGAGTAAAAAGGTTATTGTATTTGGCACCGTAAAGACAAAAGTCATTAGACCCGTACTGTGATCGTCAACCTCGTAACGCTGTTCATGGGGTTGCCTCAAACTCTGTACTAAATACATGCCGTCCACCAAAAAGTCATTGTCCAACTATGAGTATGCGAAAGTCAGACCATTCATCAACGTCCGCTAATGCTGAATGGAGAGCTGGCTGGCCTTCAAGCAAAACATTAGAGCGTTGGCTCTCCTTCTGAGAATATTGTCGATTTTGGGGCTTGAGGCGCCTTCTTAATCGGAAACAAGGTAACTGTTCCGGATAGAAATCAGTAGTCTTCCCTTGAAGCGAGGGCGAAGTTGACTTGACAAGCGAGAGATTTGACAAAGGATTCTGTGAGATTTCCAGCGTAAGTCCGAGAACGTATCGAAGTGAACAGAACAGGGCAAATGCTGCATGACGGCCCTTCAGGGGATTTCTTACCAATCTACCTCGACGATGCAATGGTTTGCACCTTGGCATTATGACGAACCAAAATCGAAGTATATCTACGTGGATGAAAAGACCTTAACAAATTCATCCACTCATCTAATAATGTCCACTGCCTTGAATTCTTCCCTCTGTCTTTCCAAGTTGAGCATCAGTATCTGATACAGATTAAATTTCGGTCTTCAGGCACAGTCTCTTCGGATCCTTTATAACTATAAACGCAAAAATTCACGGAGAAATCAATTTGACTATAGATTTCACCACATTACATCTAATATATTATATATTTGGTAGATGATCCGCTTCGAACACATGGCACTGAACGACCACAAAACATGGGATAAGGAATGCATGAAGATGCTTCAGACAAGTCTGTTCATTGAAATTGCGCTTTATCTACTTTTTTTCCTGATTTTACTTAAAGAATGAATAAATATCTGACATTGTGGCACTGTGAAAGGCGTGTACGCCCATTGAACAAGTCCGCAAGCTTTTTCCAATAGCAAGGACTTAGAGGCTAACAACTAAGATCTGAAGCGGTAGTCGCAAACTACAATACTTGTTCAGATATTTCTGACTCAGTCTGATGAGTTCAGTCTACCAATCTGAGGCTCTAATGTCTGACTGAGCCATGTCTTCAGTTCTGAGGTTAGGCTTCAGTAGAACTGTCACAGTTCCGGATTTTATCCGCAACTAGTCATGAAGTTCTTCCCTATACGTCAAATAGAATGCTTCTCTGATCCATATATACAGGTTCATCTGTGGATCGATATCATTCAGTTCAAGATCCTACCTTGGCCCTAATATTTACAAATCTGGCTTCAAATCCACAAAACCACAAATCCTCTAAGTTCTACGACTATTGCTACCTTTCCAAACTACAGAGTACAAGTCTGAGGAAAGTCATTTTGATAAAATCGATTTGTGATCATCGATGTGAAGTTACTCGTGAAGTTTTAACACTTGACTGTGAAGTGACGCTTACACTTGTCCCGCACAGAGGAGAGTAGCTGGGTTCCACATTCTCGGAACGAGGAACTTGCTATTGCTCGATCCAAACACATTGAAGCTGGCACCGGTCTTACTGTCCACAAGTAGCTCTCCGGGATAGCCTGGATATGAACCAGTTCCGTATATACCCTGACAAGCACCGACTGCCTCCAGACCATCCGGTTGATAGAATCCATTGCCGAACGGGTTCGTGGCTATACCTGCAAGAAGATTGGCCACGGTGATGATCATCCCATCGACGCCGACATCTCCGTTCGGTGGGATGAGACCCTTGGTCAAGAAGCCTCCTGCAGAATAAGGCCAGCTGCAGAGACCGGGACATTGACTCGCGGGATTTCCGACCCATCCGTAAGGTACCATCTGGCCGTTCGTCGCCGCCGAGGGAAAAGTATAATAATGCGTGCCGCAGACAGACATGCAGAACTTCTCCACCAGCACATCTTCAGAAGTCAGAACCAGGTACATGGACCGGGCGTCGGCTCCAAATTTCTTCATTGACTTGAGAACAAGCTTTTGGATGTCCGACTGCAGAAGGTCCTTTCCGAGCGAGTACTTGTCTGTCATGTCTCCTGCGAGAAGCAAGTTGCGAGCGACAGGGGTGTTGTAGAGATCCACATAATTGTGGGTGATCTGCCACCAATTCGCCACAGTCGGATGATTCTTCGAGACTCGGGACTGACCGTTCCAGAAGGATCTGAGAAACAGGCGCAACGTCGACCTCTGCTTAGGAGAGAAGGTTCCGTAAAAGGTCACGAAAATTTTGATCTTATCATTTCTGCCTGACATGACAGGCCCGGAATGATAGTCCAGAATGATTGTCGGTTCAGGCACCAAACCAAAACCCCCAACATTGGTCAGACGATGGACAGCCGGACTTTCTGTTGGACTCAAGAATCTCGTAGTATGCGTCTGGTTCACAGCAACCTCAGCTGTACAAATCGGTAGCAAAGACAAGGATCCTAGAATGAAGATCAGAGAGAAGAGAAAGAAGACTGCTGGACATTCTAACTTGCCCATATTTTTGGATTTTGAAATCCGAGTTTCTGATTGATGCTGTCTTCAATCAAAGAGACTCAGTTTCACGGGGAATGCCCTGATGGCCTAGATGGTATAGATTACTGATGAAAACGAAGAAGTACGATAGAGATGATTTAGAAACACAGAACTGGTGGTCAGAGGATTCTGAATATCACCAGAAATTGAATCGACAAATCTGAAGAGAAAGCAGAGTAAATGAAAGAACAGGAAAAGTGTGATGTCTACTACCGAGACTAAAGTCTGCTTATAAAGCTGAATCCATGCTGCCTGTGGATCATAGCACAATGGATGTTACTGTTCTATCAATACGTGTCCTGGCTGGCACCATTATAGTAATCATACACACATGTCACATCACCTTCTCCCACACATCCCCTCAAGTTCATCGTGCAGCACAAATCAGGCTCTCGTTTGGTTGACTCGGATGTAGGCAGCCACGTAGCTCTGGACATGCGATTACGTGATTATATACGATCATCTTGATTTCAATCGGAAACTTGGCGCTTTGAAAATTTTTTCGCTATTTGGGGATTTTCTTTTTTATTGCACTTATGTGATAGAATGATTCCTTACAGTAGATTCTTTTTACAGGATTTGGAAGGTCTGAATAACTGCACAAATACTGAGCACATTTTACATTTCACACATTATGCAATTTGTAGACATGTGCACTGAAAAGATGAAATAAAAGATATGCCTGTTACCATATTTTCTTTGTTCTGCAGAAAGATGACTTCTCAATATTATTCAGATTTTAGAAGAACAGCGAGAGGTTGAAGAGACAACGCAATACGAAGGCACAAATTCAATCTCAATTGACTGCATATAATCCCTGCGCTGTGGATACTGTTCCGCACAAAGCATCATCTCCACATCTGACCGCAGAGTATAATGTCTGTACTTCGGAACTCATGGATGTTGTAACTCTATGTACTTCCGTCTCGTGCCCACTTCACTTCGCCGCAGGCTTTCATCAGAATATACTAGCACGATCGCCTATACTCTGAGAACTTGGTGGCTCATGCTGTCCTTCGCATCAAATAATGCCACTTGTCTGATACCATCTTCGCATTTGGGTTTCACGATCTCAATATGTTTCGCATTACGCTGACTCATCTTGTTGTCAATTTGACAGATTTTGATGAGTCATGCTCCTCATCTACGTCCACTTGACGATGCGAAATTACCCCTGTCACAGCGCTCTGAATAAATTGGTTTAAACATGAAGTTCCATCGAGTATTAAAAAGATATTCAGCTTTAGTTTATGAGTTTCCCTCGAAGGAGCTCGTTTTCAGCTCCGTCAAACATGCCTGCAATAGCACATTGGCTATCTAGAAGACCGAATGATTGCTTTGGTGAGAATTTTAAGAGGGTGCAGCCCAACGCGTCTGAGAGTACACAGGTGATTATTCACGTAAGTAGGAAGACTCCTTGCAGGAATTGTGGGTCGGGTGTACAGCTATCTTCTTGCGCTAAGAGGAAGTTGTTGCAATCAAGAGCAGTCATCAATCCCATGTAAAATGGATATAACCTCCTGCGAGATTTGGGTACAGCATCATGATCTACAGATCAAGGAATAAGCCTGCTCACCAAGAGCATTGTACTCCTTTAATTTATAATACTTGTACGTAAAATTTCGTGTACAACAACCCATGATTAGCCTAAATTTTCGTGCAAATTTGAACTTACTCTAAAAGGATTCCAAGTAAATCATCAGAGATGACGTCAAAGATTTGAATTACAAAACAATGATCATATCTATAATGCCAGACATTAAAGACAAAAATGTAACAAAGATCTGTACATAAATACTTCACATTCAAAACTTGACTAAGACGAAGGAAGGATATCTCCTCTGGTTTCTAAGGTCCTGTTAGAGTGTTAGTTACCTGCACACGTACATTTATTAGTACGTTGTTTCTCAGCATTTCAATACAACGAGAAATATGATCGAGTGGATTCAAGTTCAACTCTGCTTGAAATCGTAGAAGTTTAGAACAGTTTGTAGGTTTAAGTTCAGTCATACTGCCGGATTTGACACGTGCCAGCGGTCTAAGATCCAACCATCACCGGTCGAGACATGGAGTTCGTGACCTCCGATGAGATTAGTCTAATATCACGTATTATTTTAATCATGATCAAAACACAGTCGAACGGACCCAATTGAAGGAAAGTTGGTACCAGTATCGCCTGAATATGGACAGTGTCCACTAATCTTATGTCAGCTTCATATAAAGTTGAACGGTATCAAAATGCTCAGAAGAGTTCAAGTAAAGACTCCATGTTATAACTTATTCTCCAGTTATAATGAAGTAAATATATTGATCATTCTTTCTGATGTGTGTCTAGTACATTCAGAGTACCTTACTAACTGGAACAAACACTATCTTACTAGACGAGGAGAAACTTCTGACCTTTACAGGACTTTATGTTGAACGAACACTGTCATGTACATGCATCTAGAGAACTCAATCACGTCGATCATATGATCATCGTGTTATTGGATATGGACATTATTTTTGCGCTGCAAAACATGACAGTATTCGCTCTGCTATATTCCATCGAGGTAACACAGAAGATGGAACTGTCCGATTTTCAGGTGATGCTCAATTCATACCGTGAGTGGGTGTCACTCCTGTCCTGCGCACTTAAGTGTTGATGGTTGCCAGATCCAAGGAAGAAGAAATTTGGCGTTTTTTTCTCCGAACACGTTGAAACTTGCCCCGCTGGAGTTGTCCACCAAAAGCTTGCCGGGACTGCCAGGAAAGGCTCCCGTTCCATATATGCCTTGACAAACACTGGCTGCTTCAAGACCATCGGGCTGGTAATATCCCGATCCGAACGGATTCGTCACCACGTTAGCCAGAAGGGTGGCGATTGTGATGATCATTCCGTCGATGCCTGCATCTCCATTGGGAGAGATGAGACCGATTTTCTGTAAGCCACCAGGCGCATATGGCCAGCTGCAAAGCGATGGGCATTGTTTCGTGGGGTTCCCAACCCATGCGTAAGGTAGCATCTGAGAATCGGTCTCATCAGAAGGGTACGTGTAAAAATGCGTCCCACAAACATTCATACAAAATCGCTCCACGGTCACATCATCGTCAGTCAGAACCAGATACATGACTCGAGCACTTTTTCCGAATTCTACAGTCGAATCCTTGACAATCTGCTGAATGTCAAGCTGAGTGAGATTCCCCGCCGAAGGTATGTTCCTTTCTCCGGCGAGGACGACCTGTCGAGCAACTCCATCGCCGTAAAGGTCTCTGTACTCACGAGTGAGCTGCCACCATTTAAAAACAGTCGGAAAGGAAGAAACCTGTGTCGGCTTCACTCCTTGTCTGAGGGAATTGAAGAAGAGCTGGAGCGTGGATTTTTGTTTCGTGCTGAAAGAGCCGTAGTAGATGACATAGAGCTTGAGAACATCATCGAGGCCCGTCATGAGCGGGCCCATATGGTAGTCTAGAACCAGCGGACTATCTGGCACTTGATCGAGCTCAGCATTCATCGGAACCATCGGCGTGGGAACAGGAGTCGGAGACAGCAGTCCTGTTGGATGAGTTGTGTAAGAGCTTTCAATCTTATCTGCATGAGATAGACGTAATTGGGATTTCACGATGAGGATCATCAGAAGCACTACAGTATCCGATCGGTAAGAGTTGAAGAGCTTCATATCGTCGGCAACACTTATCGTCCGGAAGAAAACTGCTCTATTTGACGTCCACAGCTTTTATTCACAGTAACTTTGATCGGAAGTTCTATTGTATAAGCTCCATCGCCACAACTTCAGCTCCTTCAGCTGCGGGCTGCTCGGATCTGAGAAGAAAGACTGATCAATAGAGACCCTCTATAAGTAGCAAAGCTCTAAATCAGATACTCGAGATTATTTATGATTTGGTAACGGTCATTACAAGGTAGGTCGAGCTTGGGATCCTCCACAGATGGCGTTCGTTGCTTAATCATAGGTCTGCAAAAAAAGAAGTTTCAGCCAGGAACGGATTTCGGGTTCAACATCATTGTGATGGGCATTTTGAGAGCAATTCGATTGCACTTTTGAGAGATGCCGAGCTTCTTCTTGTGTTTACGGATTTTGTTTATCATTGTGCACCAACTATGTACCTGCCATGATGATGCATATGGTTCCGCGTTGTGCGATGTAATATCCTTAGCAAAATACACTTTAGATTTAGATGTGGTTGTTAGTCAATTACCCTAAGTACCAATGATGTCAGACTACTTTCCAGCCCACGATTTTATCGAGGAAAAGTCTGTAATTTTCCCAGCGGGCTGTCGGGCATCTTGACAATCTTTCACCATGACCCACATTTAAAGATCATAGCCTCATGTAGAATACAATATCCTAAGTAGGAACATAGTGAGCTGTTGCAGTTCACAGATCGCCTAGAAGCTCATATGAAATTATTTGTTATCTTACCTTTCGATTATCGGTCAACTCATATTTCTGGCATACAGTTCATCAATGGAAGATTAACTACAATCTTTCAGCAAGTTGCAGTATCAGATTTTGAAGGTACTCCAAAGTATCACACTACAGGTTGGATAGGTCGATCACACACTATTCTTATTCGATTTTTTATAGTATCGTACGTTTGTATAGTATACTTTGTATAGAACTTTACGTTGGTATCATTAACTTGACAAATCTGGATTTCCAAGAAAGTGATTTTTCTTTAAAGCTCATTATAAAGATAAAAACCAATCTAATATCAGTGCCGCTTTATGATGAGAGTGATGACACTCTTTCTTTAAGTTTGACAATAACCAACTACTTATGTGAAGTTAAGTTTAAAAAAATCTAAAAAACAATTCCTAATAAATTTTGATTCCAAGATATTTTAAGTATAAAATATAATAATTTGTTCTTAAATTAAATTTTTTTCTTACGTACCTATTAATATTGTGGATATGCATGACTAATGTATCAAAAACGTAAGTTGAACAAGTGAATAGTACTGTATAATTGATAATATACTTGATCGGTTATATCATTCATCATGAAATGAATTTCAGATAGAATCACTTTGAAAAGTTAGAATCATAACATGCTTTCAAACATGTGTGACATCAGTATCAAATTCAAATGTTTTTAGTTGTAAAAGGAGATACTAAACACAAATCTGGGTTTTATTAGCTTAAAATATGTATGCATGTACATAATTTTTTATGAATTTATAGATCATATTTTTTATTGGATTAAAATCAAGATATTTTTATACCAACGTGATATAAAGGAAAAAATAGTGAATATTCTTGTAAGGAAAAATATATTTTTCTTCTAAAAAACGTGTCTAATATATTTAAATTAGATTAAGTAATAATTACTTGAAATTTATGATTTTTAGAAAATTATACATTATGTTTATGTACATGCGTCATGGTGAATACTTTCACAAGCTACTCATAATTTTGCAACAAGATTTATTTCATTTGTTTATATTGCCAACTTTATAACTTCTTTATTCTGGATGAATGAATCGCTATTAACTGTTGTTTGAAGAAGTCATTACTGTCTTGTTGTTACATGTGTAGTCAAGACAATGATATATATATATATATATATATATATAGAAAGAATAATTTTATGTTATTTTTTACTAGTTTAGCTGGTAACGTTGATAATTGTTCAAAATTTTTATTTGCAATGAGGGCATATATATACAATCAGATACAATTCATTACCATTAGAATGTTATATCTTTCTTGATTTCTTTGTGAAAAGATACTTGATATTCCACTTATCTAACAGAAGACATAAAAATAGCCCGTCAAGTTGCACATGAATGAACAAGTTGCACACTGCGATTGATAATGGGGCCTAGCTCTATCTACCCGTTTGGCTAGATAGGGTTAGGCCCGAACATCAGTCACAATAGCATAACCTCCCACCCACCTGATGAGATGAAACGCCAACTACGTCAACGGAGGTCATGAGTATCATCTACTGGGATTGATTTCATGACGACTAACCGAGTAAATGCCAAATCATGAGGTGTAAAGACTACCAGATAAGACACCTTTACCGTACTAGACGAGTGAAGTTTAATATGGCATCAATAGAATAACGAACATCTCAAGTGATCCTTCTCAACGCTGACTATATCTCCAAGATGGATGACAAAAACCAAACTGTCTCCTATCTCACCTACATGCATCCTGTATTCCAGTAAGTATTCGATCTGTGAATCGAGAGATCTAAAAAGATTTGACTGTGATCATCATGGCCATTATAAACATGAAGAATCGAGCAAATATGTTTTCATAGGAAATACAGGACACTTTAACACTGTCTGCTGCTATGGTTATCCACAAAGCACGATTTTCTCCAGCTCAGTCAACTCAAAGAAAGTCGAAATCGCATCCTAGTCAACCTTCGGTGATGATTCTAATGGTCCAATCGGTGCACTTCAATGGACAGACTACTTTCCTCTCCGATATCTTGCACACCGGCAAAGCTGAACCCCTGCTCTTGTACTTTCACATACGCCAACGAAGAATGACGAAGAGTCGTCGAAGGTATTGACTACACGAAGGCATGGAAAAGGTTTCTCACTACATAAACATGTCGCTTCTGAAGCAGGAATGTGTGTTTACGTTATCACGTCGAGATCCGTGAGTCTCGACTGGGGGTAGGGGTATATGCTGAGAATGAAGTCCTAGGAACCAATATACGATCAACCATGTCTGGAAAGATTTGACTTTTAAATGAAAAGTTCAATTTATGGAGCGAGCATGACATTAACTGTTCCAGCACGTAAGCATTAATTGCAAGATTCAACAACGACACACAACGCCATGAATGATGACTGCATAAGTACACAAAGCACTACGTTTTTTTATAATAGTTTGAGGTGGACTTGAAGCGGTGGAGGTCACAGTGAATCCGTGCACTAGCAACTGTAGTGGTACAACACTGGCTCCAGTTCCATTCTACAACTTTGAGGCGAAAGATGCTCTAGCTTCTCGCTGTCACGATCGGCCAAAGACCATCCACATTCTGTCGGAGAATGACTGGATAAAGACGAACCACGGGCCTCGTAAATTCCACATTATGGGTCACTCGGTGCTATCATGGGTAGTGGAGCACCCTGCGACTTCTGCACGTACGACAGACATCTCGTGGATCTTCTCATCCCTGCACTCGTTCAAATAGCACCAACCTTCGGGAACCATAATACCGTACGGATCTAGAATGAATTAGATCATGATATCATTGACAAACAGATCGATGTGTGTTCGGATGCTGCGTCCAGCCGCCTTCGTGTGCTCGAAGCCGGTGGCATCCTCACCCGATCCGGCGCCTTGTGTCATGATCATTATATTGCCGATTAGGTGCTCGAATCGTTGCCTGGAAAACTAATGTTACAATACACGAAATCTAAGATGATGGTCAAACTCCCAAAGATGCAGAAATTAAACTTGCCCTGCGCAGTTCAAAGTGAGAGGGTTCCAAATCCAAGGAACGAGGTACTTGGTGTTGCTGACTCCATAGGCATTGAAACTCGCTCCCGTCTCATTATCGACAAGAAGGTCGCCAGGAAAGCCAGAGAACGAATTCTTGCCGTAAATTCCTTGGCAAACTCCAGCCGCTTCCAGGCCATCGGCCTGCGAGTAGCCATTCCCGTAGGGATCAGTTGCAATGCCGGCCAGAAGGTTGGCGATGGTGATGATCATTCCGTCGATGCCAGCATCGCCATTGGGTGGGATGAGAGCGTTGGACAGAAATCCTCCGGGGGCGTATGGCCAGCTACAGAGCCCGGGGCATTGCTCGGCAGGGTTGCCCACCCATCCGTAAGGCACCATTTGGTTGTTGGTGTCGTCGGACGGGAATGTGTAAAAGTGGGTGCCACAGACATTCATGCAGAATTTCTCCACCAGCACATCCTCGGAGGTAAGCACGAGGTAGATGGAACGAGAGTCTATGCCGAACTTGTCCATGTAGTCCACAACCAGAGTCTGAATGTCGGACTGATTGAGATCCTTGCCCAGCGAGTAGTTATCAAAGACCTCCCCGGCGGCGACGATGCTGCGCGAGACGGGCCTGTTGTACAGATCCACATACTCCCGAGTGATCTGCCACCACTTCTCGACAGTCGGGTGACTCTCCGGCAGCTGAACGTCGGGATGCCAGAAGGATTTGAAGAAATGCCTGAGCGTCGATCTCTGCTTCTTCGAGAAATCCCCGTAGTATATGACGAACAGTTTGATCATCTCATCTCTCCCTGTCATCACGGGACCCATGTGATAGTCGAGCATTATCGTCGGCTCGGGAACGAGCCCCAATCCTCCGATGCTTTTGAGGCGCTTGGACTCGGGGACCGGAGTCGGGCACAGGAACTGAGTCGTATGCGATCGGTGATCTCCATCGGCTTTCAATGTCGCTGGCATCGAACCCACCATCATCAGTGCTGCGAAGCACAGAATCATAGGCATTCTGGCCGTCCCCATTGCACCAGTTCTCAATCCAAGATCGAAGACGTGGAGATGCCCACTCTTACACCGATGAGGAAAAGCCCTAATTGAATGATCGTTGCAACGATCTAAATACCGAGCCCAAGACGAGACCCGGTGGGCTATTCGGCTGTCAAAGCTGAAGCGCGATAGTTTGAAACCGAAAGTCGTGGAAAAGATATGCAGACAGGGACAACGTCTGACCTCTGAGTGAATTGTCAGACGACAAAGAAGAGATTTCAAACCTGATGAAAAGCTGGACTCCCGTGACAGCGACTATGGACACCGAAGTATTTAGCTTAGCGCGCGGGTTTGACTGATGACTGGCTGCGAGATCTAGACTCGAGGTGCTGTGTTTGATTGAGCATAGACAGATGGGATTTATACTCGGGCATGAGAAGGACTCGCCGCACATCGTCGGGGGAATTGTCCTCACTATGTCCCGAAGAGATCGCCATCATGTCACTCGAAGGTATTATCGCCCGCTTCTCGTTCAAGAAAGGAAGCAGATCGTGCAAATGCTGCCGTGACTAGCCTTGGCATCTGTCGAGTCATCTGCTTCGCCGATGCACTGCACGCTGAGGAGGATGAGATCTTCCGGGAGGTATCTTCAGGGTGGGCAGTGAGCTACAGGTTGGTACCCAAGTAGTATGTTTCCCGTAATTCTGGACATCCATGTACGTACTCCATTCACGTGAATTGGCGCCAAACATGGGCTCGTTTCATCCTTGCAAGGGCTGATTCCACTATATATTTCAAATATGCATTTTACGAAAAGTCCCATATATTTGGGTGTGTACATGAATGGACATGAATTGGATTTGAGAGCTCTCCGAGGCAGCTTGGACTACGCTACAGAGGAAACTGAATCTGCACCCACGTGTGTAGGTTGATGTTTCCAACCTTATCGCGGTCGTACTGATGGTACAGTCGACTCCATAAGGTGTTCGAGTCCACTTGTTTTAATCTTCAAGTTGAACATGCTAAATTAAACAACTTGTATTTGGGCGCAAGTGTTTCAGCCCACAGACTACATGGTTGATAATTCACTGTATGAACAGCCTCAGAGATATTTCAACCTTTATCAACTAATAATCAATAATAATCGATTAAGTTAGATAATAAATTTTCAGTTAATGTTTCTCAGTCAATGTTTCTCCGCTCTACTGCCAAAAGATTATCAGTGAATTATGCAGATAAGTACAAATACAGATCCAGATAATTATACTTGTTCCCTCCTGGAAATCTGATTAAACCGAAGGCCATTTTCAAGAATGTAACTTAGACTTCAGCACTAACAAGTGGGATTTACAACTGTCAAAACATTACTTTAGATTCTCACTTGTAGAAGATTTTCTGGCTAGTTTCGGACGCAGGGCATGGATCTGAGGTTGATCTGCAGGTCAGACCAACTTCCATGGCAGCTTGTTTTTACACCGGTATCATCCCCGTCCGTTTTATTCTTCAGCCAAGGTTCTGGACAGAGCCTACGTCCCTTAAGTAAGGAGAGGAAGCTTCTGGAATGACTTTAGATGTGTCGACTACGGTGGACAGTCGCTTCTGTTAAACGTCACGTTAGGGAACTTGCATGCTGGAGAGAATGAGCTGGAACGAGTGTACTGCAACTGTGTAATCTGAACTGATGCTCGAGACACGACGTACAGCGTTGATCAAACGTTTCATGTGGTACATTTTGTGACAACGATCTCCAGAGTCTACCTGGAAACAACGATTATTTGCTCAAACCTTAATACACATGATCAAATTGGACGAGCGATGCATATCAAATATACACCAGCTTCGCATACACGCCGCTGTTCATCTTGGAGTGTGCTTCCTGTCAACTGTTTCCGGGCAGCTTATAGTACACGCTAAAAACAGAAAAAGAGTTTTAGTTATACGTTTGTAACTCACGAGGATATGTTGGCCATTTTTGTTGTCGGTTTGGAGAGGCAGCTGCTAGCCTGGCCTTTGTTGGCATTGTGTTCAATGTTTGGCAACGGTTTGACTTCTCGTAAGGTTCAGATCAGAGTTCTTACGGGAAGTCCTTTTGACTTTTTGTCCACATTATTATGCTGACGCTTTGAGCTGCCTAATGATTCAGAGGTGCCAGCTGTGACATAGATCTGCTGCCACCAATCGACTGGTGACAACTCTAGCCCAGAATTATTACCTGGAAACTGGCAACAGACCAATTAAGACTTCGGGAGAACTTCACATCGCACGACCATGTCCATCGTTCAGCTCGCTGTATGTCGAGGTCGTATGATTTTCACCGGAGTAACTGGTTACATCAACCATTAGAAACCCCTGTTACACAGTCTTAGACACACTTTACTTCATGCATGCAGGCTTCGATCGCGAGATGAAACCTCGTGCGACGCTGCGAGGTAAAATTGCATGAGATACCATTCTATTGCCAGCCACCACTAACAGAAATTCACGGCCATAGACCGGAGACGACCGAGTTGACCTTAAAAAACTTCACCCACCTGAGTGATAAAGCGTAAACAACTCGACATTCATACAGAGGAAACAAAGGTGGAAAAGCGAATTTGTCAAGAAAGCCTTGAAGCATTCAAAATATATGAGAGAAGTAACATGGGAACCTTTCATTCGGTAATTCCGTTCTAAAAATACCCATGCTGGACTACCGACACAACGACATTTGTGAGAGCTTCTACTTAGCGGATGCTTCAAACGTCGACAGGAGCTTCTGTAAGCGACGCTACGTACCGTCGACTATTTTATGAAAATCAGTTGAATCTACTACAAAATGCTCTCTTATTCTTTTTGGGCACGTCGGCGACATGCCAATTCAAACTTCGGCTTCTAAAGGGTCCCAAACCAAACCAGACAATGTGTCAGAGAGACCATGGGGTCCCATCACGAGAGTGTAACTTCTACCGCAGCCTGAGCCTGTCGAGCAGTGCAGCATTGCATGCCCGTACCAGGTTCAGACGATGAATTCCTACTTGGTCGTTGGGACCAGATGTTGTGACCCGCATCCATGACGAACGAAGGGGGGTTCGTGTAATTCTACAATCCTAGACACCAGCAAGTATGTACACTGTGATCTCGTAATGAGACTCGCAATGGATGTAGGAGCTCCCATGACATCCTTGGGTCGATCGTGCCGAGGCCGGTGTCGTCGATGGAGCCAATCAATCAGTCAGCCGCCGGAGTCGGGTTCCGGCGCGGCAGTGTGGCAAAAATTTTTCACCTGTTTTCAAAGCTGTGCGCGTTTTGCCAGTCAGCGAACGAGAGGCAGCTTCCTCCATCAAAATCTGTCTCCCATCGCTCACGGGCGAAGAATCTCCGCGCACGTTGCACACAATGCCACCACAAAGTATCCGGTTCGATTATTGCCCAACGCTTCTTCCATTCTCTCCTTCCTTCCTTCCAAGCCTACGACAACATTGGCCGCTACAACAATTGTGTTCGCTTACAGAGCTGTTCAGACCTGTCCTGCGCACATCAGAGTGTCCGGGTGCCAGATCCAGGGAACCAAGAACTTGGTGTTCTTCGCGCCGAAAACATTGAAGCTCGCGCCCGTCGCCTCATCGACCAAAAGCTCTCCAGGGTAGCCAGGGTACGAACCGGCACCATAAATACCTTGGCAAGCTCCGGCCGCCTCGAGAGGCATGCCGGCGTCTCCCTGGTAGTATGCATTGCCGTAAGGGTTGGTGGCCATGCCAGCCATAATGTTGGCGATGGTGATGATCATACCGTCGACACCCACGTCGCCATTGGGAGGAATGAGGGCCTTCTGCAGACTGCCTCCTGCGGCATAAGGCCAGCTGCAGAACTCGGGGCACTGGGTGGCGGGATTGCCGATCCATCCGTAAGGAATCATCTGCGAGCTGGTCTCGTCGGAGGGGAAGGTGTAGAAGTGAGTACCGCACACATTCATGCAGAAGCCCTCGACCAGCACGTCGTCGGCAGTTAGCACGAGGTACATGGAGCGAGCGTCGGCCCCAAACTTGGTCATCGAGTTCACGACGAGGTCCTGAATGTTGGACTGGTTGAGGTCCTTGCCCATGGAGTAGTCGTCGAACAGTTCTCCCGCCGCCACGATGTTGCGCGACACGGGCACATTGTAGAGATCGACGTACTTGCGGGTGATTTGCCACCACTTCTCGACGGTGGGGTGGCTCTCGGGAAATTGCGTCTTGGGGTGCCAGAAAGATTTGAAGAATTGGCGCAGAGTCTGCCTCTGGGGCTTGGTGAAGTCACCGTAGTAGATGACGAAGAGCTTGATCATCTCGTCCCTGCCGGTCATGACGGGCCCAAAATGGTAGTCAAGAATGAGAGTCGGCTCCTCCACGAGCTTGAATCCTCCGACGCTCTTCTTCCTGGTGGCCATATCCCGCGGGTGGAGGAAGGCCGTCGCATGGTGCCTGACCGAAGTCGCGGCCGGGGCTTGAGCAGCATCCGTTCCCAGACTGATTTGGAGAAGAGACAGCCCTATCAGACTAAACAGAACCACCGACATGGTGGTGAGCTTCGACATTGCGCCGTCCAGACGTAGATTCCTGCAGAATGAGCAAGCTTCGTCCCTAAATTGCTAAGACGTTAATAGATGTCGGCACGGACGATTTTCGAGCTCCCGACTGAGTGAGTGAGAGAGAGTGAGAGTGGGAGAGTGGAAGAATGGGAGAGCGAGAGAGGCAGGAGAATTGATGAAAGGCGAGTTGGGTTTCTATTCTGGCTCGAGACGTGAGACATATAAAGAGCGTGAATGGATGCGTGCGCCCTTGAAGTGTGGTCTACTCTATCATTCTTCCTGCTGACGTTTCCTATCTTAAATTAGCCAACCAAGAATCAGTGGCTGTCACCGGAGACTCGTCTCCCGCTGGTTTAGGGGCCATGATGCTGCCTGCCTGCCTGCTACCACCACAGCCTAGGCTACCACACCACCAGACAACAACAGCCTCTGCTCTGCAGCGTTCGTTCGCAATTCCGTTTCTCCCCCCTCGCTCCCTCCCATCCCACACAGTGCCCTGACTGCCGCTGCTCTCGTGTGGTGCATGTCCCCGTCGGTGTGCCCGTCCTCATGTTGCAGCTGCAGCACGAGCATGCACGATGGGTCCCCCCTCCCCCCCCTCCCCCCAGTGTATGACCCCCCTAGCTACTGTGCGCTCACGGAAACGATCGCCTGCGGCGGCGGTCACTATTGCCCACGAACTTACTAATGCCGCGGCTGCAGCGGCCGTTCTCCGCTTCAGAATATTTTCGTGTTCTACACCACAATCTATAACCGGACACCAAGAATCTCCTGAAATCCGTCGCCATCTCGCCATCTCCTCTGCCGCAACCGGTAGATTTCAACCCGCCCTGCCCTGCCCCTGCCCTACCTTCCTTGCCTTGCCATCCTCTCCCCTGCCCTGCCCTGCCCTGCCCCACCCCGTCCCGCCCCGCCCGACCCAACCCAACCAAACCCAACCCAACCCAGCCTAGCCTTAGGTTATATTCACCCACCGACTGCAACCCAGTAGTACGCGTTTACCGTGCAGCTGTCATGGGCAGGAATGCGCGCCATTTTGCAGGGTGTATGCTACACCCATTTCTGTAATTAGTGCGTATTACTATTCGTTGCGAGTCATAAATAGTGTGCTTCAGAGCCTAGCCGGGGGTTGAGAGTTAACACCCGTTAGGGTTCGATATAAAGTTTCCACCTCCAACAGCCCCTGTAAAAAGCTGTTCTTGCGTTACGCTAATCAGCATTAACGCATGTTTTATGAATGCTGCTCTCCAAATTTCGCCCGGCTCTGATCGGCTCCGCTCATCGCCATGAACGTATATGGTCTAGCCTGAAGGGGAAAAGGGTCGGTGTAGTATACCTTTTCACTTTATGGATTGAACTTTTGTTTACAATTACATCCTACTCTTACACATTTTTACCCACTGTAATTGGAAGATCGTGTAAGAGTGAGTTGTGAAAGTGACTTCTCGTCTTAGATCTTGTTGATGCTGAGAATCTGAGGTTTAGATTCCCACCATTCTCGATTGAATCTCGAAACAATTTCAACTTAGACTTTCTCTATAAGTTATCACGCAGTTCTTTAGATGAGCAATTTTTTTGTATCTGCATATTATTTCAGTGTAGACTAGAATACAACTTTTGTCTTGTCGGCAAGAGAAGTGATAATTATTTTGATGGGATCCAACTAGCAGACTTATTATCAGTCGGAGGTTTTATCACACACGATCTTGGAGGTTGTCCCAAGAAAAAACAGCATGTTGGTTTGTACATCATCAGATATCACTCCACTTCTGACACCCATGCACATCATCTTCGTACCGTTCTTCAAATCATCAACATGAAATCATAATGTAAGAAATACAGTTTCAAAATCAGTTTCTACTTTGTTGGCTAAATTTAAATGCACACATCTTTGTGCATGTGCTAATATTCATTGATTAATTCCAACAATGCAATATATCACAAGTTCTAACTCGTGAAAATATATTGATGATTCATGATGAATTTTCATTCTTCACCAACAATTGTGGAGCATGTGGTGCAAAATTAAACGAATTTATTATCTCATCTGTTGCATTTGCAGAACTAAGTGTCAAATGAAGACTTTTTTTTCTACGCATAATTACTGACACATACTTCACCCGCTTTGAACCGAAGATCGACAAGATGAAATCGATCACCATCTTGGAGGGAAAGGATGTGCACCATCAGGTCGGGAGGGCAAAAGATGATAATGCCTTAGTTTATAATTCTATGTGCAGTCAAGCTAACTTTCTTGCCTACTGTCGAAGAAACAATTCTTGAATCTTAAGAATATTTGATCAAACTGACTCCGTACTACATGTAATGATCAAGAAGTTGCACTCATAACTGATTACAATAATCATCGGATGAGATGTGACATAACCTAGGCCTTAACAGAGGTTTGAGTCTATTACGTAAGTTACCGAGACAGGAACAAACTCTGCAGATACTCATGATGAGGCAGATGAAGTTGCTTTTGTGGCTGGTTTATTGCATAAGCAAAACAAGGAAGTAAGTTATATCACGCAACAATTATGAGCGGAAGTCAAAAATAAGTTTGAGTCGTATACAACTAAAACCAAGGAAGTAGAAAGACATGGGGCATTTGACAAAACATCCAATATTTCACAATTATTAATTGTGACACATTAAGGATTTGACCTAGTAAATATTGAAAAGTAACTCTCCTAATGTATTCCAATATTGAAATAGAAAATGTCAACCCATATAAGGGTTAATTAGAGAAAGTGTGCACTCCCACTTCGTTATTGGAAAAATAAAAACGTCGATGGTTTTGCTTGTAGTTCGAATAAGGGCATCTGCTCACTAACCATGTTATTTAAGTCAAGATTTCGCATATAACCATCGAAGTTGAATTTTGTCTTCTGTGTTAACGATGAAGTATGTGTAAATCACATGAAATATTTGTTTAACTACAGCTTTGAACAAGCGAATGACTCACAAGTTTATGTATAGATGAGAATATGCAAGTCTTTTCTACAGTTTATGCTTTCTAAACAGACAATAAAAATGAATAAGTTTCTGAAAATATACAGGTTTACACTAATGTATTTACATTGCTAGGAGTTTTCCAAAAGATACCAGAAATATATCTTCTAATGTACACACGTGACAAATTTATTAGATTTGAAAAAAGGTGGATGTATAGTAAAATGTAAACTCTATCCCACACTGGATATTCAAATCATTGTACAATATGTGAAATTTTCACTTAACTTGCACAAGATCTTCCTCATCCTCGAATCTACCTCTTAGCCAAATCTAATCAAATGACATCAGAGAGGAGGAGGCCCTAAACGTGCACTAAGGAGAGTAACTCACCTCTTAAACTCCTACTCCATTTTAGAGATATGCAAAGAAATTACGGTGGAGGATGTTCATGCATAGCTACGTCGAGGAGGACGCTTCAACGTACGTGGTATAGTGAGTCTACCTCCTCATGCTGCGGATTTGGGCGATGCTGCAGATGTGGAGCCCATGTAGGGTTTGGGAGACTGTTGATACGTGGAGATCTCGAGTTGCTTCAATGCAACGTCGGCAAATTTTTTTCTTCACAGGTGCTCTCGACAAGCGTTCTGGATTTATGTGACTAGATTTTCGCCCTCCTTTCCCGCGTCTACGAACATCATGCCCAATCTCCGAGGCCGAAGCTTGACCCCCGGCTGCAAGGAGCCTATAAACAGAATTAGCAAATATTTTTTTAGAACGAAAAGGTAAAACGACTTCGAGATTATCATCTGCCTTGCAAAACATGTTGCTAAAATTTTGGTTACTGTTTTTTTGTCGTGGATGCTGTGTTTGGGATAGCTCAGACATCATGCTCAGATAGACAATGATCCGTACGAAATATGGCAAGCGCATCCGCTCAAGCTATTTCTACGACATTTAATTTATCTTTGCCTCTCACATGATAAGCTAAGACGTTCCTCCCGCCCTCAATAAGGGAGGGCATTTACAAATTACTACGAAGCTCTGCGGGTACCGACTAACATTATCACCGTGATATTCATTGAACAATAATGAAATGGCTGCTATTTTAGAACAGGAGCTCTTCTCGTTTGGGATCTTTCTTCCTAAAGAAGGATAGAGAGGGAGAAGGCAAAAGTGACGTGCTTGCCCAAGGGGCCACACTCATCATGTAAGGCCCGATTTGAAGGGCGACTTTATGTTGATGATCCAGGAATCATCGGCAAGTTTCCGCAGCAACAGCAGGTACCGGGATTTCTTACTATCTCTAAGCTTCTTGGCTTTTCTCGGCAGCTCACGTATCTTCTTACTGTTCTTACTATCTTCTAACCATCTTGGCGTTTCTGCTATTCTAAATGGCTGAACCTCTTCTGTCACTCGCATCGTCTGTCGGTTTCGCCTCCGACGTTCAGGGAACCTTGCCTACCTGGCACGGAGCTTCGCAACGTTAACCAATTTTTAATACTTGCTATTCTCTTCACATACTATATCCAGGCTATTCAAGTCCGAATCGTAGCTCATCGGACGTATGCGTGGCTGCCACGTCGTTTGACTACTGCCACGTCTACCTCCCGCCTTGAGCTGGAACCGAGTTCTGTATGATTAGGTCGTTCACTTTTTAGTGCAGGAAACGCATGATTTCAGTTCACAAGAATAAAAAACACACCCGTTGAACTTATTGCGGGGAGACCAAACTAGCTGAATAGCATGGTGATGGTATCAAATGGGGTGGCACCAATCTACTAAAGTGATCGTCGAAAGCAATATAAAAATCCTATAGCTTGCGCTTTGTAGGCAGGCAGAAGGGGGGCGAAAAATAAAGGAAAAAGGTAACGCGTGACTGTATTCGATATCCCTTCAGCTTTAATGGTCGGCCCTGAAGAAACTGAACGACTGAACTCGTTTGTTCATGAGTATATAGAGGTATCCGACCTTTCTCAAAACACGCAAACAATTTTTAGAGTTGGGCATTAGAGGAATGTTTCTCGAGTAGTCAGCTGTGTTGGCAAAATGAATCGAAATGTAGGCCTATGAATTAGTTGTTTAAGGTTGTCATACTGAGAAGAAGGAAGGAAACGGGGTGGCACCGTCAGCATGTGGACAGTAGACATGATGGTACATATTGGACAGATATATTTATTTTTGCAGCTGCACGGAGTCGAAGTGAAACTTCGATTTGATACAGAATGCACGTTCCGATGGCTGTTACAGCCGTCATAACTCATGCTCGCGTTGTCTAATCAACAACAACAACAACGAGAGTAGCGGCGGAGCCTGTGACCCCGAGGTCAGAGTTCAACACAGAACACGTCATTGGTGCAAGGTGGCTCGGAGAATCAGAACCGAGCCCTCACACCCTGCAATCGTGTTTCAGATTCCGCAAACACAAGCAAATAGCTAGAATTGAGGTGAGAGCTTCATCGAAACCTGAAGTCTCCCGATCTCAAATATTCAGAAACTGTATCGTACAGGATCGCGGATTTTCATGGCCTCGGGGGTCAGAGCACATTTCGGCGTCGGGCGACCGAAACCAGTGGAGATTCTCCAACTTGTCCCATCTCAGTTGTGCTCGATAAGTACAACACTCCTGTGTACAGATTTTGAAGATCGGCCCATTCGAAGTCAACGGCCCTATGTCAAACTATTGCAACCTGTAAGTTGCGCTTCTTCTGCTGTAGAATATACTCCTCGCACAACATGGCAACTCGTGCCTTCAAATAGACATCGAGTCAGCGGGGAACGATCACATTCGCCAGCCCAGCCAAGAAACTGTGGGGCATACGCGTACTACGGTTACGCCTCACAGTTCAAGAACTGCGTAGCCTAGCTGCGTGCCTCCCTGGACATGGTTGTTCCAACGTGTCCTCGAGGTGAAAAAGTCTACCGAGCCCAGAATGGTAAGATTGTGTTGGGCCTAGCCCCGTGTTACCCGTTCGATTGGATCTGCTCATCCTTATTATTGTTACTGGATTGTGTTCGGAATGACACCGAACCAATATTATACTTTACTGCAAGGTCCGCGACGACTCGGTCCCGGAACGTGACAAAAGTGTTTGAATCCCGCTCTCTGCACAGCTTTTTATGACGAG